GGTTTATTCCTGGTTATGACAACTTTGCCTAGATCCAGCACTCCAAGTGGAAAGATCAAAGAACCCCGGATTCAAGGCCTCACCGTGGTCATGATGAGCTGTGTTGCCTTGATAGGTTACTTTCCCTCTTGGGACTCAGTGTTATTGCTGAATTGGTCTTCCACAAATAAAATGATCTACCTGAAAGGAGAGAAAAGAGAAATAATTTAAGCAAAACTCAACCATGCCAAGATTGCCAGGATTTGAACAAGGTACTTCACAGAGGAGATTATTCAAATGGACAGTAGCCTTATGAAGGGCTATGCAGCCTTATTAATCATCAGAAAAACCACGCAGTGTACATACCATTCTATACCAATTAAAATGGCTAAAATGAAAAAAGATAGCTTCAAATGTTTGTGAAGCTGTGGAGCAACTGGAGCTCTCATGACCTGCTGGTGGGAGTGTCATTTGGCACAATCGCTTCGAAAACTACTCAGCATTTTCTATGAAAGTTGAAGATGTGCATCCCTCACGACCCAGAAATTCCACTTCTAGGCACACCTGCAACAGAAATGCATAAAAAAGCGCACCAAAAAGACAAGCATGATTCTATTCAGAACAGCATTATTTGTAATGCTGTCCATCAGCAGTAGAATGGATAAATACACTGTGATTCACACAATTGAATACTATATAACTATGAAAAAGAATAAGGATCTGATATGTGCAACGACCCATATTACTCTCACAAAGGTAGTGCTGAGCAAAAGAAGATAGAAATAAAAGAGTATCTATTTGAGTCCATTTATATGTTTCCAAAACAGGCAATTTAAGGTGTTTGAAGAGGATGGTGTAGTGACTTGGAGGGGCCACAAAGCAGGTCTTCTAAGATGCAGGTAATGATCTATTTCTTGATTTGGGTGTGATAACTTGGGAGTATTTATTTTGTAAAAATTCCGTGAGCTGCACATGTACGATTTGTGCACTTTGTGTACGTATGTAGTACTCCCCTAAAATAATTTAATTTTAAAAACCCTAACAACATTGCCTAAACCACATGGCCCTTCAAACTCTGCCAGGCAGATTCGTTAATGATGACTCAGTGCACAGTGGTCAGTAGATACCAACATAAATTCCATTGCCCACACCGTTTAGGTTCTCAGTCAGAGAGTACTTTTTCTGTTGCTTGCTTAAATGCTCATTTTGTGTGTGTGGTGCTAGTAACTCCATCTATAATAAACCCCTTAAGGCAATATCCCTAGGATCCTTATTTTTTTCTTCTTTCAGTAATTACCTCTTGTAAGATTGGCTAGTCCTTATCAAAAGTAATTCAGCGACTCTTCTGTGACAGCGATTATTGGCACCCAGAAAGAGCTGAGATGTTTTGGAAGCAAAGCTTGCCCCACTGTTTGATTTACAGACTCCGTTTTTGGAAAGCAGTTTGTTTTATTCTTTATATCATTCTATTATTTATATATGGCTTCAGAACAAGTGAAGCATATAGTCTGGTTATTGTCAGGATGTGGAAGAAGCCAAAACAGTGTGGAAATGTAACTTTGTAAATTCTTTCATGTGACAGTTGTAAGCATGATTTTTCAGAGTGTGTATACAGTGTGCTTGGATATCCTGTCTCAAGGAAGAGGTGCTGTCACCTTCTAAAAGGAAGAAGAAATAGAATCAGCTCTGGAAGAATGCCAAAGTATGTTAGGGCCACCTCTTGGTAGTGCCAGTTTATTCAGTTTACAATCTCCTGTGATTCTTAAGACAACATGTCAGAGAAGCTGACCCTGGTGTTCTAAAAGATAATTCTGCTTAGAGAAAAATCTTGATTTTTTTCCCCCCTCTTTGATTATTGGTTGCATCTTCGTGGCTGAGTAAAAACAGGGGTTTTAGCCCTGGCTGGTGTTTCTCAGTGGTTGGAGCATCACTTGGTGCACCAACGGGTTGTGGGTTTGGTTCCTGGTCAAGGGGATTGCAGGTTCAATCTCAGGCCCTAGTCTGGAGGCAACCAATAGATGTGTCTTTCTCACATCAATGTTTCTCTCTCTGTCTCTCTCTGTCTCTCTCTCTGTCTCCCTCTGTCTCTCCTCCTTCCCTTCCACCCTTCTGCTCTCTCTAAAAAATCAGTGGAAAAAATATCCTCGGGTGAGGATTAATTTTTAAAAAAATAGGGGTTTTACAGGTTGATGTGCCAATGTGGCAGCCATGCAATCAACTGCAAAATACCACAAGTTCGAAAACATCACTGGTGATTGACATTCTTAATAGACTCACTACACTAATAAAATTCTGATTCATCAAATTTGTGCTTTGTGAACTATTTATAGGTAGATAATAATACTTAATTTTATTACTGATCCTTGTCATATTCTTAACAATGATCTTTCCAAAAACATTTTTTTTTAAAACCAAAGCAGTCTTCTACAACACAAAACTACAGAAATTTTAAATCAGAAAATTATGTTGCTCATTGATTTAGACTTAAAATCCCCTGTACAAGCTTAAAAAGACTCAGATTGTGAGAATTTGAAAACAAAACTACCCAGCCGAAATGCCGTCTTCTGTTATTCTCTTATGCCAGATGGACCACAACTATGGGCTTACTGTAAATATTCCGTTTCCTTGCAAAAATCATTTCATCGTCAATGTTCCCAACAGATGCAATGCGTTTCCATTTCTTTGTGAATTCTAAATAATGAGCACAGGTAAACCTTTGAGGTTCAGCTTGGCTTGAACCAGGATCCACATGATTAAATGCTTATTCAAAACTCTTTCATCTAAAAGTCTTACAAGAAGGCTTGTTTTTGTTTTACTGCCTTCCTTAAAGTGTTTCAGTCTTTCCAGTTTGACTTCCATCTCATACCAAAAGGTGAAAAGACATTGGAAATGATTGCTCTCTCAGTGAATTTCAAAAGAAGTTCTGGGTTTAATTTTGAGTAAACATTTGGCTTTGTTTTCAATTTTCTAAACCTGGATGGCTCAGTCTTTTGAGGTCTCCTTATAAGAGATATATTTTTATCATTCTGATGGTAACTACCTTTACAAAATGAATGGGAGAATTGAGTCAATTATTCACATAGTTCAAGCTAGAAGGTCATTTTGTTTTAATTATATAGGTATTTCATGAAACTGAGGATTTGGGGAGGACCTGTCTTTTGATAATTGCCCTAATTCTTCACTTGGCATGGACGTAATTTGTGTTGCTGATCAAATTGTTTAATATATTTTTACTTTTAATTTCTCTCATCTGGGCTAAAAATACAATATAGGAAAAGCTTGGAAAACCTTGAGTAAAAAACTATGCTCCTAATTTTTTCAACTTTTTAAAAAATGTTTTTATTGATTTTAGAGGGAGAGAGAGAAACTTTGATCGGTTGCTTTCCATACACACCTAGACTGGTATTGAACCCATAACCTGGGCATGTGCCCTGAATGGGAATCGAACCAGCAACCTTTTGGTGCACAGGACGACACTCAACCGAGCAATAACAGTCAGGGCAGGAGGCTCAATGTTTGAATAAATTAAATGCTTATGATTCTATTGAAATGCATAATGTATTTCTTCTATGCTTTAAAAATTTTTTAATTGATCTTTAGAGAGAGAGGAAGGGAGAGGGATAGTGAGAGACATCTTTTTAAAATATATTTTTATTGATTTCAGCAAGAAAGGGAGAGGCAGAGAGGGATTGAAACATCAATGATAAGAGAGGATCATTGATTGGCTGCCTCCTGAACACACCCCACTGGGATAGAGCCCTGAACCCGGGCATGTGCCCTGACCAGGAATCAAACTAGTGACCTCTTGGTTCATGGATCGACAATCAACCACTGAGCCACACCAGCTGGGCTATTTCTTCAATGTTTTAGAAAATAAAAAATAAAAACCTTAAAAGTTTACAAGTCATATGAAGCACCTACAATGTGGTGGCACAATGCTAGGTGCTAAGCAAGCAAAGGCTTAAGGAGAATCTTGTTTCCTCATGGGCTGATGGATTCAGGTTCGTAGTCACTGGTGGACTTTCTGGTGCTGCTGTAAGTGATCAGATCGTGCAAAACGCCTGTCACACAGAGTACACAGGTAGGGTCGCTCCCCACTGTGCCTTTTGTTGTGTCTCTTGAGCTCATCTGAACGGGCGAATTCCCATGTGTATCCCTTCACATTGCATTTGTAGGGCCTCTCTCCTGTGTGTTTGCGATAATGGAATTGGAGAGAGGAATACTTTGAATATGATTTCTGACAGTCCTGGTATGTGCAAGTGTAGGGCTTTAAAATGTCAAGATTCTTCTTGAACTGACGTCTCTGGGTTTTGAGTTTTGACTTCTGCTCTTCTAGGGATTGTCCTTGGGTCAAATGGGAACTTGAACAGTACAGGGATCCTAGGTATGGCAATGATGGCGACTGACACGGCATCATATGGCTTCCATAGAGAGTGTGGTCATCAGTGAAGGCTCTCATCTGGTCCCCGAGAGTGTGGTCATCAGTAAAGGCTCTCATCTGGTCCCCCTTAAGGGTCCCCATCTGACCCCCATAGAGAGTCTTGTCACTGCTGTATGTTGTCACCTGGCCCTCAGTAAAGGAATGGTTCCCAATGAAGGTCACTGGATAGTCCCCTTTAAGAGCTGTCATCTGGCCTCCATAATGGGTCTGGTCCCCACCAA